GCGTTCGATCACGATCGCGTGGCCGAAAACCGCACCTCATTTGGACTCTCCTAACTCCCTCTATGCCTATTTAAAGACACCCCCGAAAATCTCCTTCTCCTTCCCCCCCGAAAACCCTAGATCCATCTCTACCCGCCGCCGCCGGACAAAGCCGCCACCGACGGACACGTTCGGGTCCGCCGCGCCGCTGCCACGTGGCCCTCTCCCGTTGGCCGCCGCCCGGCGCCCACTTCGCCGTCACGGGGGCCCGCCGGGGCCCGGGGAGAGCCCTCCCGGCCCACGCGCGCGCGCCCCGCCGCCTGGGATTCGCCACGCTGCCCGGGTCCTTCCGCCGCCACCTTGCCGGACTCCGGCCACCTCGGGCCGGCGCTCCACCGCGGCCGGCGAGCTCGAGCTCTGCCCGCGCCGCCTCGCCCAGCCACCGTTCCGCCCGGCGCCGCCTCCGCCTCCGCCTTCCGCCTCCGCCGCACCCCTCCAGCCGGCGTGCCCCCATCTCCAAGTCCGGCGAGCTCCAAGTACGACCCCGGCCATCCTCGTTTTGCGTGCTCCGGCGAGATCCGATCTGGATCTGGAAACCCTAGGGTTGACCCCTTGTTTTTTTCCTAAGTCTGCAGTTTATATGCCCTTGTTCATCGCATCGTAACTCCGCATCCGTAGCTCCGTTTTGGGCATATAGCATATCAAAATGTTCATCTCAGAGAGTACATAATTTCATTCCATTGCATCATTTTCATTTGAGTTCATCTTGATGCCCGAAATGCTATTAGAAGAGTGCTACTTGAGATAATTGTTAGATCTGCTGCTCCGTTTAGCTATTTGTCATTTTTGCCATGATTATTGTGTGTATGATATGCCCATGAGCTCTGCATATGTTTTGTTAAGGGTTTTGCCATCTTTCCAGAGGTGCAACCCATGTATTTTTGTGATGTGTGTGGTGACTAGCACAAGCTTGCAAAGTGAGGCACTTGGTAATGCTGATTTCAGGGACTTAGCATTTCCACTAAGTCCTTGAGCTGTTTATTTTATATGGCCATATGTTCATGTTGTTTCCTAGTGATTCGTGCCCCTTTTGAGGATGATCAGTAAGGATGTTTTGTTAATCTTGTAGTGCTCTATTCATCCATGTCCTTGTTTGCAATTATGGAGCACCCTAGCTTGAGTCAATCGAGCTCTACTTTTGCTACTTCGTGAATCTGGGCAGATTGTCTACTTGTTAGCGATTTTGCCGAGGATGTTGTAGTTGATCCGTGCATGCTATGCTATTGTTCTTGCCATGTCCAGCTTGCATTTTGTGTATTATTGATGGGTGTATGCTTAGCTAGTCATGACTTGCTCCGTAGTGAGTGCATCGAGCTCGTAAACATGCCTACTTGATATCTGTTTCAGCATGCTCCAGTTTTCCCTAAGTCTGAGAACTGATTATGTTTTTGCCATGTTCACATGCTTGCAAATGTATTTTCTGATCCCTTTTGGCTCAAGGTCACTAAGGGACTTTTGTTAAGCTCTTTGAGTAGCTCCATGCCATGCTTTACTTTGCCATGTTCAGGTCCTGTAGCATATAGTTTTGTTGCTTCGAAGAGTGCTATCTGATCTGAAATTCCAGACAAGTGCTAATTCACTAAGTCTGAGATCTGTTTACCATATGCATTTTTGCCATGCTTGTTTGAACCTGTTAATGGATGAATTGGCCGTAGCTCAGTGCTAGACTTTTGTTAAGTATCATGAATGCATCCCTGCCATGTATTTTGATGCCATGTTTGGGTGTTGTAGCTTGTTCATCTCATTGCATTTAGATGGCTACTTGCGGTAAATCGTAGACCGGTGTCATATTTGAATTGCTTGCCATTTCCAAACCGTAACTCCGATTCCGGTGTTCTTTATATCGTTTTCAAGCAATTTCATCTCACCTTTCCAGTGGCACACTTGGATTTCCATGTTGAGGCCAGGTTCATGCATTCCTTGTCAAATCTTGCATATGCATCCCGCATCGCATCCCGCATAGCATACCATCCTTGCATCATATTGTTTGATTCTTGCACGTGGTTGATTGTGTCCTTGTTGCTTGTTTGTCTTGTTTGGGTAGAGCCGGGAGACGAGTTCGCTAACGAGGAGCCCGTTGAGTTTGCTTTCGAGGATCCAGTCAACTCTGACAACTTTGCAGGCAAGATGATCATAACCTCAAAATCACTACTATCTTTGCTATGCTAGATTGCTCGCTCTTTTGCTATGCCAATGCTATGATGCCTACCACTTGCTTTCAAGCCTCCCAAATTGCCATGTCAAACCTCTAACCCACCATGTCCTAGCAAACCGTTGATTGGCTATGTTACCGCTTTGCTCAGCCCCTCTTATAGCGTTGCTAGTTGAAGGTGAAGATTGGAGGCCGTTCCTTGTTGGAACATTTATTTACTTGTTGGGATATCATTATATTGCCATGTTATCTTAATGCATCTATATACTTGGTAAAGGGTGGAAGGCTCGGCCTCTCGCCTAGTGTTTTGTTCCACTCTTGCCGCCCTAGTTTTCGTCATATCGGTGTTATGTTTCCGGATTTTGCGTTCCTTACGCGGTTGGGTTATAATGGGAACCCCTTGATAGTTCGCCTTGATTAAAGCTTTTCCAGCAATGCCCAACCTTGGTTTTACCATTTTCCACCTAGCCTCTTTTCCCTTGGGTTCCCGGAGCCCGAGGGTCATCTTATTTTAGCCCCCTGGGCCAGTGCTCCTCTGAGTGTTGGTCCAAACTAGAGTCCTGTGCAGCGCCCCCTCGGGGAAACTCGAGGTTTGATTTTAGTTGTATGGAGAGCTCATCTGAGTGTGCCCTGAGAACGAGATATGTGCAGCTCCTATCGGGATTTGTCGGCACATTCGGGCGGTGTTGCTGGTCTTGTTTTAACCTGTCGAAGTGTCTTGAAGAACCGAGATACCGAGACTGATCGGAACGTCTCGGGAGGAGGTCAATTCCTTCGTTGACCGTGAGAGCTTGTCATGGGCTAAGTTGGGACTCCCCTGCAGGGATTTGAACTTTCAAAAGCCGTGCCCGCGGTTATGGGCAGATGGGGATTTGTTAATGTTCGGTTGTAGATAACTTGAACCTTAACTTATTTAAAATGAATCAACCGTGTGAGTTACCGTGATGGCCTCTTCTCGGCGGAGTCCGGGAAGTGGACACGGTGTTGGAGTAATGTTTTGCGCAGGTTGTCCTCTAGTTTCTCGCTCGCGCTTTGCATCCTCTTCTCGCTCTCTTTTGCGAAAAGGATAGCCACCATATATACTAGTCGCTTGCTGCAGCTCCACATATATTTTTACCCTGCCTTACCTATAAGCTTAAATAGTCTTGATCGCGAGGGTGCGAGATTGCTGAGTCCCTGTGGCTCACAGATTACTATTTACACCAGATGCAGGGCCTGATGATTCCGCTCCAGGTGACGCGCTTGAGCTCAAGTGGGAGTTCGACGAAGACTCTCAACGATACTATGTTTTTTTTCCTGATGATCAGTAGTGGTGCTCAGTTGGGGTGATCGGGACCGTGTCGCATGTTGGATTATCTTTTATTTTGGCGTCGTAGTCGGGCCATGAGTGTTTGGATGATGTAATGTTATTTATGTACTTGATTGACGTGGCGAGTGCAAGCCAACTATGTTATCTCTCCTTTTATTACATATATATTACATGGGATGTTGTGAAGATTGCCTAACTTGCGACATATGCCTTCTATGCGATTATGCCTCTAAGTCGTGCCTTGACACGTGGGAGATATAGTCGCATCGAGGGTGTTACACCGCGGCCCCTCTTCGGAGAAGATCCCTTTGGATTCAAGACCCCGCTAAGGGAAGATCCCCTCGTGGATTCAAGACCTCCTCACGGAGAAGACCGGCTACCTTTGTATCGTCCTTAGTTGTCCGTGGATCGTGTGATTTCTTATGTACTCGAGGATCTAGCACATGTGTGACTATTTCTTGTTGGATTAGTGTTTCTCTTGTGTTTCCCCCGTGTCTTCCATTGTTTCCCTCCTCGTGTTATTCGTGTTCATCGCGGGATCCGCTCCTTCCGTGAAAGATCGGCCAATTAGGGTTCCACCCTACATCACAGCCGCGGTGGGCTCGGCGGCTGCAAGCGGCGCAACAACGACGAGGCCAGCAACTCCTCCCTCCGTCCTCCCGTGTCGGAAAGGCGCAGGGAGCAGGCGCGCACCCGCGACGCAAAGTCCCGCAACGCCAGAGCGCGGGCGTGGGTGACTTTCCGTCGCCTCGGGTGGCTCTTTGATCCGTCCATCCAGCGCCTCAGGGGCGGCCGAGCGCGCCTGGTGGGGGGTGAAGGAGGCTGCCGCCACGGAGATGCAGTTGCGGCCTCGCGCCTGCCGGCGCTCTGGAAGGAGTACCAACTCGCCTCAACCCTTTCCGGCACGCTCATTTACCACACCCTCCACGACAACGAGTCCCCGCCTCGCGAGGACGACTCCGGTGACGACGGTGAGTCCGGCAAGGAGTAGATGCTAGTATGAAGTATCTAGTCTAGTAGTTTAAGTTTGAACTATCTATCGATGTGCTTTGTGCGGAACTATCTATCTATTGTATGATGAACTATGCTTGTATGATCTATAGAGCGAACTAGATGTTTCAAATCGAGTGCAAATTCGGTCATGTTTATCGGATCTATTCTATCGAGGAGGCAGACCTCCCCCAAAATTTATTTATAAGATACTGTAAACGAAATTTGCAAGACGCCCATATATCTAGAGATGCTCTGCATCTCACATGGATGGATCCAGTTCCCCAACTGGAGTAACACCTTCTCGTCCTATCCCCACTTCCAGCTGGCCCCCATCCACTTCAATAAGACAACATAGTCCTGTCTGTCACGTGGCCCCCACCACCCCAACGGACCCCGCTTCTTCCACCGGAAAACGTCGTCTCCGGAGCACCAGAGTCGCGACCGCCGGCAGCCCTCCTCACTCCCGCTTAACCATCCTCGCCGTCGGATGCGACCGCGGCGGCCCCAATGGCGTCCTCCTCCGCCGCCGAGCCAGGCCCCCGCCTCTCCGATCGGAGTACGCTCTCCGTTCGATCCCCCCTCCTCAGCTCGATTCGGTCCCGGGTGTTTGCGTCCTGATCTGGTGTTTGGGGTTTCTCTTGCGCAGCGAGGAGGTCGCCCCTGGGCCTGAGGGCCATGGTGCTCCTGATGCACGTGGTCTTCGTCGGCGCCGTCTTCCTGCTCGATTCGACCCTCGATAGGCGGATCCACGAGGAGCCGTGGTACAGTTCCCACCTTATTTCGCCCACCAGTTCAATTTTTGCTTGGTTCAATTCCAAATTTAAGACGCGCTGTCGATTTGTGCGGCGTCCGAAGCTTTGTTCCAGCTATAGGTATCACTCTAATGATTGTTTCCCCTGTTTTAAACCATATAATCTGATATGATTCTACCAGAAAAGGTAGCTTTTGGGGTGCTAGCGTGCTAGTTGTCCGCGTGCCACCAGCTATGAAGCATAAATCTCGTAATTTTACACAGTGATAATAACATGCTCTTCTCAGAAGTCAAAGCACTCTATTATAGTACTCCCTCCGTCCCGTAATATAAGAGTGTTTTTGACATTAGTTTAGTGTCAAAAACGCTCTTATATTATGGGACGGAGGGAGTATATCTGAGTGGTATTTGGTAGTTTCTTGTAGTGCCGTTTTTTGCTTGACTGTTTCAGCCAGAGTGTAGGCATCATGGTTCTCAGTCTTATTTACACTCTGGTCACTAGGAGTATGTTACGCCACGATTTCCCCCCCATATTGCACTATAAATCCCCGTCCATTCTGTTCTGACTTAGGATGTGTACAGTTATCTCTTTTTGGTTGTTGAGGATCTCCATTTGGTATCATTTTATTACAGGTATATCGGAGTGTATGGTGTGCTCGTTCTGATCGCCTTAGCGCAATACTTCTACACTGCTGGTTCATCTCCAGGGTATTGAATAGTCTTATTGAATTTATTATCATACACATTATCGATTGAATCTGATAAGTGCCTGATTTTGGGGCTCCTGTGCCGTCAGCTATGTTATTGATGCAATGCAAGCCAGTGGTGGGATGCATGCAACCTTCATCAATACCGCCACTCTTTCAAAGTAATGTCGTAATCACCATAGCATAGAAGTGTTGACAACCTATCTGAGGTATACACTGATACTTATACTTTCTTGTGTGTGTGTTTTTGATGATTAAGAAAAGACAATCCAGTTCAAAACATGGAAGCTTAAAGTCCACCACAAACCGGCCTGATCTAGAGAAACTTAGACCAATGTCTTCTTCATCGTCATGGTTGCATCAAATTGTGGATCTTTATCCTCCTGGGTCAAGCAACAGGTGAAGCTCGAGAAATTTATTTTTTAGGGTATATGCAGTAGTAAAATCCTTGTGTTTGCTCGCGGTCATAATATTAGTTTAACATTCTTCTATATTTTCTTTGTAGGGATTGGACTTGCCAATATTGCAAAATTATCCAGGTTTTGTTTTATCTTCTCAATTTATGGTGCTAAAGCTTTCATAATTATGACATGCAAATGTTCACTACGTCCATTGTATAAAATCATCGGATTGAACTTCACATCAAGTGTGGGTCGGTGACACGAAAAACAAGGCATTTTTGTGAGCCATGAGTTATGTCCACGTACCTTTGGTTGTATTTAACTAAACTCCTTACGTCACTGGTTAAGAATCGTTAAGTGGATCTATAAAATTCAGGCATTAGAATTACAGTTGATTGTTCCATGATATAGTTGAAGTAGTCTATTTGCAGCCTTTCCGTCATACTGTTGCTCTAAATGGTTTCATTGTATTGCCTATTGAAGACCCATTTAGGTGCCCTAAGGCTATGACGAGTATCTTAAAGCTCCCTGAGACCATCCTGAGGGTCTTCTACACCCTGATGCTATGTCGGGGTTCTAATTCCTAACTAATTAGCAAAGTGGTGGTTACACGACTTTGGATGCTACAGATTGAATTAGTACTGTCTCATACATTACTAAATAGTTGTTTTTCACATGTCTTTGTTTCACACTGATCTGTGTGATCCACTGATCCTACGTCCTACTCTTCAAACTTTTTCCATGTAAAGCTTTTGCTGATTGTCTAAGTTCACTTTTTCCTACATTACACTTTTGCAGCCACCTCGTACCAGGCACTGCCATGATTGTGATAAATGTGTCCTTCAGTTTGACCATCACTGTGTTTGGCTTGGAACGTGCATTGGCAAAAAGAACCATTGTCGTTTTTGGTGAGTTTTGGCATGTGTATTTCCTGCATTATATTTTTTACATGTACATAATGACTATGTTGCCTGGCATGCACGTTCATGTGTTTCCATTGTACACCGTCTATGTTCTACTGTGCACTCTGCAGAATAAATCTGCATGTGTGTTTATTGGCTTGCTTCTGGACATCTGGTGCTGTATAAACATTTTGAGGAGCCTGCTCTATGCACGCATGCTGCGTAAGGCTTGATTGGTGTGACTATCAATGCATATCCACCCATTCTTTGATTATATGAGCAAACAGATTACACTTCACCTGGTCATGGTTTCTGGATTTCGTTTTTATCTCCAACATGCAACCTGAACATCTTTGATTTTATCATACACTATTCAGTACTAGTAAGTTACACGCGCCTTGCATGTGAGAGTGAAGTGCGAACAGATATCAACATACCACATTATAATAGTCAAAACATATACATTTGGAGTCACACACAAATAAATTTAAGATGTATGTTTAAGTTTCATCGCCCACCCCATTTGAATTCAAATTATAATTACTTAATATTTGATGACTCTGTGGTATATACTACACAAAACTCATGTGAAATGTATAAG